AGAAAAAGACACAGAATTACAAAAGAAAACACCCTCAAAAGTGGAGGGAAAGCTTTCACACTTACTTTGCTCTTCCAACAGAAAGAGCCAGGGCCCCAGGACTCTGCTTTGGCAAAACCTCAGAGGCATAAACAGCATCATCTGCTCTTGATTCCTCCAAGGAGTCGCTTTCTTCGTTGTGTGTCTTGAAGAGAAACGTGCATGTAAGTCACAAACTGCAAGGTGTGTGAAAAAAAATCTGTTGGAAATTCAAAAGTCTGGATTACATTTAATATCTACCATGCATACTTACGGCTTTCTGCAAAATGTACATTGCACTGCTTCCATTCCAAAATTTTTCAACAGGACTTTTGCGACTGCCAGCAACCAGTGAGATCTCTACGTCAGTCTGCAAAAAAAAAAAAAAAAAAAAAAAAAAAAAAAAAAAAAAAAATCAAAACTTTTTAATACACTGTATAGAGACACTGCATTTCAGCACTGTTTTAATACCAGAATTTGCAAAATTAAATAATTACACAGATTGTTTTCTAATCTTATTGCATCCATTCACAACCCACTTGCAGAATTTCTGCAGTACCTGAAAGGCGCCTGAAAGAAAAGATGGAGAGAGGATCCATTTAAGAAGATGGAGTGACAGGACAAGATGGAATGGCTTCCCACTGACAGAGTAGGTGTAGGCTGGAAATTAGGAAGAAATCCTTCCTGTGAGGGTGGGCAGGCCCTGGCACAGTTTCCCAGAGAAGCTGTGGGTGCCCCTGGATCCCTGGAAGTGTCCAAGGCCAGGCTGGACAGGGCTTGGAGCAGCCCGGGATGGTGGAAGGTGTCTCTGCCACGGCCCGGGGGAATGGGATGATCTTCAAGTTCCCTTCCAACCCAAACCAGTCTATGATTTTACCTCATATAGATAGGGATGTTCGGGGATACTGTCCTTTCCTTCTTCACGTATCCTGAAAGAAAAGAAAACGTTGAGATACACGACTTTTCCCCACAGCGTTCCTCGTTAAACAGCAGCATTACCCACATGCATTAAACACACCAAGGGTACAACCGGAGCCTCAGCAGCCTCTGCACAAGCGGGGCCAGACTTCACTCAGCAGAGCAGCGAGACCAGCAGGCAGTGACCCCGAATCCGCACCGGTGTAAGAGCCCAGACAGCCCCGGGAACAGCTCCGATCCCCACCGGTGTAAGAGCCCGGACAGCCCCGGGAACAGCCCCGATCCCCACCGGTGTAAGAGCCCGGACAGCCCCGGGAACAGTCCCGATCCCCACCGGTGTAAGAGCCCGGACAGCCCCGATCCCCACCGGTGTAAGAGCCCCGACAGCCCCGGGAACAGCCCCGAACCCCACCGGTGTAAGAGCCCGGACAGCCCCGATCCCCACCGGTGTAAGAGCCCGGACAGCCCCGGGAACAGTCCCGATCCCCACCGGTGTAAGAGCCCGGACAGCCCCGGGAACAGTCCCGATCCCCACCGGTGTAAGAGCCCGGACAGCCCCGGGAACAGCCCCGGGAATAGCCCCGATCCCCACCGGTGTAAGAGCCCGGACAGCCCCGGGAACAGCCCCGATCCCCACCGGTGTAAGAGCCCGGACAGCCCCGGGAACAGCCCCGATCCTCACCGGAGCAGGAGCCCGCCCAGGCCGCCGCCCGCCCGGCGCCGCCGCTCCGCCGCCATCGCCGCCCTCCAGGATCGAAGCTCCCGCCCGCCGGCGCTACGCGACGCCCGTGAGGGCAGGGTGACGCGCCACGCTGGATCCCTCCGCCGGAACAGAGTCCCCTGCTTTGGCTGGGAACCGAGCGGGACAAAGGCGCCCGGAGAGCTCAGAATGGGCCTGACGGGGCCGAAGAGACTTGGACAGGGACTGGGGCCGGGGCTGAAGCTCGGTCCGGGGTTGGGACTGGGTGTGTGGGGTTGACAGGCCGGCGCGGCAGAAGCGCTTGTGAGGGAGCGGAGGGACATAGACGTAGTAACGAGCGGGTGAGGCGTCCTTCCTTTTCCGGTCGGGGCGCGGCGCGGGCGGGCGGCCGCAGGAGCAGCTCCGCCGCCATGGTGAGGGGAGCGCCGGGCCCGGCCCGGGGCAGCGGGGCGGCGGCGGGGAGCGGCGCGGGCAGCAGGGCCGGCCCGGGGCAGCCGGGCCCAGCGGGCAGGACCGAGCCGCGGGCAGCTCGGCGGCCGCGCTGGCGGCGTGGGGCACGCGGCCGCCATTTTGGGCCCGTCAGTGCTCGGCGGCCGCGTGGAGCCCGTGAGGGACCGAGTGGGGCCGGGCCGGGGAGGCCGCGGGGGGGAACTCGGCGTGGTACGCCCAAAGTTCTCCTTTAAATGGGCATGGAAAGGGATGGGATAGGTCCCCATCGCCATCTGGCAGCGCTTTGTAGTTTTTTTCATGTATTTATCTAAAGCGAAACAGGCCCACGGCAGCGTTTGCGTCCATCTCGAGTGGGGAAAAAGAATTGTATATATCTCTTTTCTAACCTATTTTTGTTGCAGAACAGGTTTTAAGGGGCCTTGGTCTAGAATCAGGTTGCAGATGAACAACTGTTCCTGCCAGTACAGCTCCGATTGTGCTCTGATGCTTTCATCCCGATCAAGTTTGTTGCTTGTGTTGGGGTCTCTGGGTTAACACCAAGGGCAAGAGCCTTGCTCATGACGAGTGTCACATGTAGAGACTGAGCTACTTAGTTTGGAGTTCTGGAGTATTTTAACGCCTTTAAAATCATCTGCACACAGAAAGGGGAAGCAAAATGCTTTGCTTGTGGTGTTGCCACCAGATTAATTAGCAACTGATAAAATATAATGCTAAAACATTGTTTTTAAAGGGTGCTGTTCATCCTCTGGCTATTTCTGGGCACTCTTTCAGCCGTATGACAGGCAGCTGGTGCTGAGAGCAGCTTAATTTTCCAGTGCACAAATTTTAAGGCACCAGAGGTTGTTCAGTGTCCTCTGGCACTGTTTCACGAACTGGTTACAACATTTCCTAATTGAAATTACAAGTATTTGGTTAACACAGGTGAGTTTTTCTAATAGTAGATTGGAAGTAATTTTTGAAGGGGTTTGTTATAGAGCCCAGAGGCTGAATTGTACAAATCCCTTGGGAACGCAGGTGTAGTTTTCTGGAGTGAGCTGTGGAGCACAAATGCAGGTGTAGTTTTCTGGAGTGAGCTGTGGAGCACAAATGCAGGTGTAGTTTACTGCAGGTGAGCTGTGGAGCACAACTTTGAGTACAGCATTGCTGTGATGACGTAATTTGCGTCTTATCCAGTGCTCAGCGACAGTTGCCTGCTGTCATCATGCTGGCACTGCTGAGCTGACGACTCCTTGGTTCTGAGCAATACTCGGGGTTAAACACTGACAGATTCAGACACTCACTTCACTTGTACTTAAGGGTTTGTGCTTCCCCAGGCTTGCGCTCGGCCGCTGATCTCCGTGTACTCCGAGAAGGGGGAGGCGTCGGGCAAGAACGTGACGCTGCCCGCGGTGTTCAAGGCGCCCATCCGGCCCGACGTGGTGAACTTTGTGCACACCAACCTGCGCAAGAACAACCGGCAGCCCTACGCCGTCAGCGAGCTCGCAGGTGTGCCATGGTCACTGCTCAGCACTGCGATTTTCTGCTGCTCGGGGTCTGCACTGCTCTAGTGCACACGCTGCTTTAGCCTGAGCTTTGTGTTAGCGGGTGCTGAGCTCTCTGCACAGAGTAGGGAGGCAAAATAATTCCTTCTCCAGCTGGGGGCCAAGGACAGTGAGACAAATTTCAGGTCCAAGAGCACAAACAATGTGGGCTGAGGAGAAGAAAACAAGAAGGGACTTCGTAACCTAAAGCTGTAATTGGACAATTAACTCCAATATGCAGATGGAGCAGAACTTACCAAAGTGAGAGACCCCATGACCAGTTGTGCATTTTGTGACTATTTTGGTTCATCTCAGATGTAGCCCTGGCTGGGCTCTTGTGCTGCATCCACTGAGGCCTTTTAATAAATCCCTGCTTTGTTCTGTATCTCTGTCTAGGTCAGGGCTGCACTGCAGGGGGGTTCACGTGAAAATAAAGCTGGAGTTGGGATAAGAGAAATGTTATCCATGAGGTTCTGTGTAGAACGCAAGGCCATTTGTTAACAGTGTGGTTTGAAATGCAGCAGTTAATTTATTCTGAGGACCATCGCGTTGGTGTTTTGGGGTACTCTGTGCTCTTGTTTGAAATGCTCCTTGCTGGAAGTATCACAGTGCCGGAGGTGTCATTCTTTGCAGGAAAAACATAAAATGGCTGAAAGTGTTGCATGTGAAAATCCCTGCTCTATGTTGACCTCATGAGACTTGCCTGAGGGAGTCACCAAAGAAAAACTCCTGCAAATGGGCATTTGTTAGATTTGCTTCTGTTTGTGTAGATAACTTCTGCTTCCCAAGAAGTCTGTGCTGGGAGCATGCCATTTTAACCTTACTTCTAGGTTTCACACAAACACCTTAACTTACTAGGTATAGCAGTGCTAAGTCAGACCTCCAGATTGAGGATCAAGCTTAAAATAAATGTCTTAAAGATCTTAAGTCAGAATCAAGTACATTACTAGACTAGAATTAAGTTTTCTCGATCAAGATTGTTATGCTGAAATGATGAGTTCCACTTCATTGGTCCGTGTTTCTGAAACACATGATTGTGTGGAAGTTCTGATCAGTGCCCTGAGTTCAGCATCCCTCTGGCAGTGATGTGACTCTCTGAATGACCATCGTGTCCCTCTCTGTTGCAGGTCACCAGACCAGTGCCGAGTCATGGGGTACTGGGAGAGCCGTTGCTCGAATCCCGCGTGTCCGGGGTGGTGGCACTCACCGCTCTGGCCAGGGTGCCTTTGGCAATGTATCCTTCCATGGCTGTGCTGGCTTTGGGGGCACTGAACTCAGCCAGCAGAAACAATTTTAATTATCTAAATATGAGATGGAATATTTCTCTTGAGGTAATGGCTGCAGCTCAGACCTGATGTGATTCTCGCTCTCAAACCATGTGATCCATTCTGTCTTGCCATGATGTCGTAATTTGCGCCTTACCCTGTGCCCAGGGACAGTTGCCTGCTGTCAGAGTCCTGGCACAGGTGGTTGACGACCCATTAATGCTGAGCAAGCAATAAAGAAGTCCCTTTGGGATAAGAAAGCTCCAAAAAGTTGTTCTTAACTGCAGCTGCCAGATGTGTCGTGGTGGCCGCATGTTCGCCCCGACCAAGACCTGGCGGCGCTGGCACCGCAGAGTGAACATCATGCAGAAGCGTTACGCCATCTGCTCTGCTCTGGCTGCCTCTGCCCTGCCAGCCCTGGTCATGTCTAAAGGTGAGAATTCTGCCTCTGGAATTGTTTGTCTGAGCCAGCGTTGGGTACTTTGTGCTGGCTTAAATGGAGTCTTTGCAGTGCGGTTTCACGGAGGCAAAGATTCACTCAGCACTCCGGTACACAAAGTCCTGTGTGAGATCTGTAAGACCACTGGAACTTCACTGCTCTGGTTACTGTGCCTGACTTCATTTCATTAATTTCTACCATTAATTTAATTTATCATGCATCATTTCTGAATATACAAAACAGTAACTTTAAGGAATGGGTCCAGCCAAGGTTAGTGAGCAACACTGAGTGTCTTGTGAAATCCTGTCTAGGCCACCGCATCGAGGAGATTCCAGAACTTCCTCTGGTTGTTGAGGACAAGGTTGAGGGCTACAAGAAAACCAAGGAAGCTGTTCTTCTCCTGAAGAAGCTTAAAGCTTGGAATGACATCAAAAAGGTGAGCTGGAAGGTGTGATATGAAGGGCAGAACACGGGTGATTCTGCTGTGCAGTTACTAGAGTAGGAATTCCAAACAGTTCTGTATTTTGACTCTGGAGAGTGATGAACTTATCACTGGTCCGTGTTGCTGATCCGCAGTGACGATGGTGAAGTTCTGACTGAAGCAGTGTGATGGGTCTGGCTGGGGGGCTGTGGGCTTGTTGGGATGCTAAGTTCCTGCTTTTCCCAGGTTTACGCCTCCCAGCGCATGCGGGCCGGGAAGGGCAAGATGAGGAATCGCCGCCGCATCCAGCGCAGGGGACCCTGCATCATCTACAACGAGGACAACGGCATCATCAGAGCTTTCCGGAATATCCCAGGTAATTAACCTGGGACACGCTCACTCTTCTGCTGGGACACTGCCTGCAATGATGAGATTCCACTTCATTGGTCCGTGTTTCTGAAACACATGATTGTGTGGAAGTTCTGATGGGCTGCAGTAGTTGATCTTTGTAAGAGCCTGTTGGGGTGATTGTGACAAATGTTGCAGCTGTTCCCAACCCTGAAATTGTTTGGGGCAGTTAAAAATGAGGCTGGTAAGTTTGCTGCTGGAAGACGACTTATTATTGTTAATTTAAAATGCAGTAGATGTTCATACAGAGGTGTGTGTAGCTCTGCAGTGTCAAAAATCTCTTTCTTCATTTTGACTGCTGCTGAGCCTCACATTCCTTGACTTTAATTACAAACTGAAGGGATTGCTTTGCCTGGTTTCCTTCAGGAATCACTCTGCTGAACGTGAACAAGCTGAACCTGCTGCGCCTCGCTCCCGGCGGCCATGTGGGGCGTTTCTGCATCTGGACAGAGAGCGCCTTCCGCAAGCTGGATGATCTGTACGGCACCTGGCGCAAGGCTGCCACGCTCAAGAGCGACTACAAGTGAGTGCAGCCAGGGTTTCCCCCTTTTCCCAGGAAAAAGGATGCTGGGACTTGCTCCTAAATGCCTGGTTATGGTAAATTAGCCATGGTTTTATCACCCACTCACACTGTGAACGTTGGTTTGCAGCCTGCCAATGCACAAGATGACCAATACGGATATTGGAAGAATCATGAGAAGCCAGGAAATCCAGAAGGCCCTGCGTGCTCCAAAGTAAGTGATTTTATGTAATGAACAGAGACTCTGCGGGGAGCTTTGAAATGGGTTCCAGGCTGGGATTTCCTAATTTCTGGGTACAAACACAAGGAATTGCAGTTGTCCAGATTTCAGGGAGAATTTAGCAGAAAAGTGGCATTGCAAAATATGCTGATGATACAACATGGCTGTGCTTTTCAGGAAGAAGATTCACCGCAGAGTCCTGAAGAAGAACCCACTGAAGAACCTGAGAATCATGATCAAGTTGAACCCGTATGCCAAAACCATGCGGCGCAACACCATCCTGCGGCACGCACGGAACGTGAGTGGGGCTGCCGGGGCTGGGGCTCGGGGTTCAGGTCAATCATCTGGTCATGTCTCTGATCATCTCTCTGTCTGTTCTAGCACAAGCTCAAGGAAGAGAAGAAAGCCAAGGCCCAGGCCAAGCTGGCAGCCAAGGCCCCAGCTGCACCCAAGGCAGAGCCTCCTGCCAAGAAGGCCAAGACAGCCAAGGCTGCCAAGCCTGCCAAGCCTACCAAGCCCGCAGCAAAGGCCAAGGCCGAGGCGTAACCGCGGCCGAGCTGCCCCGGGGTCCCCGCGGGGGCCGTGCCCGGGGTCTGTCCCTAATAAACGCTGTTGGAACAGAAAGCCGTGTGGCGTGTGCGTGTCCGAGCAGGCGTTCGAAGGGAAGCTGCGGGGCGAGCAGGGGCGGGAGGCGCGGCCGGGCCGGGTGCGGTGTGCGGTGAGCGGCGGTGGCCGCGCGGTGGCGGCCGCGGCCCCGCTGTGACGTTCCGGGGCGGTCCGGGACGTTCCGGGGCGGGGCGGGCGCTCCCGGCGGGGACGATGCTGAGCCGGCTGCAGGAGCTGCGCCGCGAGGAGGAGACGCTGCTGCGGGTCAAGGCGGCGCTGCACGACCAGCTCCGCCGGCTGCGGGTGCGCGGGGACAGCGCGGGGCACGGGGTGGGAGCGGGGCCGGGGCCGGGGCCGGGGCCGGGGAGGGAGCGGGGCCGGGCCGGCCCTCAGCGCGGCCGCGCTCCGCCACGGGCCGGGCCCTGCGGCCGTCGCTGCTGGGAGGGGGAGCAGGGAGGTGCTGCGGTGTCTGGGAAAGGGGGACCCATCTGCGGAGAGGTAAATGTAACTGTGCAGGATGCAACTCAGAGTAAATGTAATGTGAGTGTGTGTAGGGGACATTGTATTAAAGGAGCTGTAATTGCGAGTGTATGTATACATTAAGAGATAAACACAAGTGTGAGGGTATGTAGGATAGATCTCTAAGAGGTAAATGTGAGTGTGATGCATGTGGGATACACTAAGAAATGTGAGTGTGCATGGGACACGTCTCTAAGAGGTAAATGTGCATGTATGCAGGAGACATGAAGAGATAAATGTAATTGTATGAGTAGGATACACCTCTAAGAGGTAAATGTGAGTGCGTGGTTTGCTGATGGATGGAGAAGGGACAGTTTGAGGTAGTGGGACTGAAGACTACTTGGGACTACTCATGCGTATCATAATAAAGGCGCTTAGAACAGAATTGCAGAATATTTAACAAAGCTGTAAGAGGTGAAAAGCCACAGAGTGGTGAGCGGGAAGCCATAGGCAGTGCCGTGAGCTCAGTGCGGTCCCCGCAGGTGGAGGAGCTGGCGCTGCAGTCCATGATCAGGGCCGGCGAGGAGAACGTCCCGGTGCCCCTGCCAGCGCTGGCCGAGGACACTCAGCAGGTAAGGGGGGCCCTGGGCTCGGAGGGGGCCCCACGGCTGGCTGGCAGCACCAGCAGGGCTGGCTTGTGCAGCTCCTCCCGGCACCTCATTGATGCTTCTCATCACTGCAAAGCTCGGCTGTAAAATTTTTGCTGCTGGTTTGTTTAGAGGGTTTCACCTTTCCCATCCCCAAAAGCAGCACGGTGTTTCCAGCGGGATTGGGAGGTACCTGTGTGGTGTAGCTTCAGTTCACCATGTGTTAAATATTTTGTTTAATGCTTGTGACCCTGGGGTGGAGGCAGAGGTGCTGCAATTTTTCACTCAATACCTGGCCAGCCTGACCCAGGTGCAGCTTTTCCATGGAGACCAGGGCCTTTTTGCTGTGATGGGCTCTCAGGCAGCAGTTCTAGCTCTGGGACCTTTAATTACCAGTGACTGCACAGCTCTAACAGTGATCTGAGAAGTGTTTGGTGTTTGTGCTAGGTTTGGTAATCAGCCCTTTTCTCTGACAGACTCTTGGGCAGATGGATGATGAGGCTGTCATCAATCAAACTGAGTTACACCTCAGTCTTCAGGATGATAAAGAGGAGGAGGAGGAGGAGGAAGAGGAATCTGATTCTTGAGAGAAAAAAATCAGAGATGGTTTTTACTACAGACTCAGGAATTTCTTCTTCATTCATCTGAAACTCACCAAGTGATTTCCATTTTGTGCTGTGTGTGGGTATGAACTATTTGACATATCAGAGTCGAGGGCAGTGACACTCAACACGTGAACTTCACAGGCTGGGCACATCTTGACTCAGATGTTGAAAGAATGAAAATCTGCTGCACAAATATGTAGCATAATCCATTCCACATTTCAAACCTAATGTAGCTCTTACAACATCTTTGCATGTGGAAGGGAGAAGTAATTGATCAACCAGACCAATTAACACATGCACTAAAAGCAATAACTTGTCTGTTCTCACTTCCTGATGTGAGAAACAAATCCAGGTCCTGGAGGCTGCTGCCGCCCCAGTGATTACATTCTAACCTCATTTGCCTACACTGGCAATTTAAGATGAGAAAAGATGTGTCCAGAGCTGTCTCCAGCTGCTGTGATCTCAGTTCCACGGAAAGCTGGGGTTACTCCCAGGGTCCTCCCAGTGTCAGCCCAATTCTGAGCCCAGCAGGGAGGTCTCTGTCCCCCTGGTGCTCTTCAGTTCTGTCAGTCTGTCCCAGAGAAGGACTTTCTACTTCTGCTCCTTCAGAGCAGCACCCAAGGAGCCTTTTATTTGTCCACAAATTGTAGGCTAAGAAATGATCCGTGGTGCTTGTACTAAGCTAATACTCTTAAATTGCTGTTATTTTCTTTCTCCCTCATTGTAACCTCATAATAAACCAAGGCAAGTTCGCCTGCTTCCATGTGACTTTCAAGGAGGAGCATGAGGAGTGTAAGCACTTAGTTATAAATGGAAAGTGATGTGAAATCTCCACAATTCTTGCATTTGGAAAAGTGTCTGGAATCCTGGGGCTGGTCAGAACTGACATTCAGCCTCCAGTGAA